AAACATGAATATAAACTTCTGAAGATGTAAAGTTGTCACATTCTACCTATAATGCTTAGTTTGTTTAGTCAGATATCTGCATGCATGCTCAAAATCATATATTATGTGAAAAAAGATATTAATTTTAAAATAATGTTCGACTCTCACATTTAATATTTTAAACTCTTCAGATTCATCTGTGATGCATCATGAAATACATCTCATATCATACACACATTATCTAATAGTTTAGTGCTAGTCACCTACCACTAATGTGCCACAGCCCACAGTTGGAAAAACACGGCCTTAAGAATTACATTCAGGTTTGACTCATGAATTCTCCAGTAAGCATGGGTCACAGCTGCAAGAGCCATCACCAAGGGTGTTGGGAATTTAGTTTTCTGGAAACATGCTTTCCTCCGATGTCACCTCTACCTTCCCTCCTTGTTCCAGTCTTTTTTTCTTCCCCCAGAAACAGGCGTGTCACTCGGTCCCCATGATGGAGTGCAGTGCCAGGATCATAGCTCACTGCAGCCTGGAATGCCTGGGCTCAAGTGATGCTCCTGCCTCAGCCTCCCAAGTAGCTGAGGCGTGCCCCACCACAACTGGCTTTTTTTATTATTATTTTTTGGAAACAGGGTCTCACTTTGTTGCTCAGGCTGGTCTCCAATTCCTGGCCTCTAGCCATCCTTCAGCCTCAGCCTTCCCTGTTGGCGGGATTAGGCATGAGTTACTGCACTCAGCTGTTCTAGTCTTTGAGCCTGGATTGGGATGCTGTCAAGGCTCCAGACCTTGGCAAAGCAAACCGGACTCTCCTTTTCTCTGGGATTGACCCAGAACTATAACTATCAAGCCAAATTTGTTCCAGGTTCCAGTTTCAACATTTTCTATTATAGATTGTTCAACTACCTTCTGCTCCTGATAGCTTCTTTGTCTCAAAAAATTTTTTTTATTTCAGGGTATTATGAGGGTACAAACATTATGGTTACACTTTATGTCTTTGCCTCATCCAAGAGAGGGTTAAAGGCGTGCCCTTCCCCCCTACAATACCACCGGTGTCCTTTAGTTGCGGGTTTACTCCTCCATCCCCCTAATCCCTGGAAAGTATTACTGCCATGTGATCACCCTAGTGTTGATCTTCTAGAAATTAAGAAACGTTCTTTTAAATAACCACTGCAGCAAAGACAAAATAGAAACTATAATTAGAAATTATCCAAAGTTAGAGAGAGATGAACAGTTGCTCCCAAAATCAAAGCTGTAACAAAGAAAAATGAATCCTAATGCTGTTATTAAAAAATTAAAACTGAAGTAAATAAGCATTCAACTTAAGCAGTTAGAAAAATAACAAAATAATGCTCCCTTGAAGATTAATAAAAATTTAAAATATTTTTAGAACAGTAAAAAGTAATTATTTTAAGTTACCAAAGCAATAGAGGAATTGCTGGCAAGCCTGATTAGGAAACAAAAGTAGAAGATAGAAATATGCAACATTAGGAATGTGACATGACATAGAACCACTAATAAAGAATTGGGAATAAATATTAGAGAGAATTGTGTGCATCTCTGTAACACTCAATGTGATTAATCCATGGCAATGGATGATTTTCTAGCAAAACTTAAACTATAAAAACTGAGAATTAAAATCGATACTGAGGTTTACCACTTTGATAAGCATCAGAGCCAGGTAGTTTTAAGTAGACTTCTAAATACATAAATCCATAACTGAAAACAGAGAGGCTAACCATGTTTGCAAACTGGAAAATATATTATTATTAAAATTGCTAATCCTTCCCAATAAATATGTAAAATCAGTGCAACTTCAATAGAATCCCAGTGAGCATAGGTTGGGATAATTTCCTATGGTTTGGAACCAGACAACTCTTCCCTGAGCAGAGACATGGTGACCTAGAGCAGAAAGTTAAAACCCAAACAGCATAAGGAAAGCTCATGAAGGAGGACTGCCTAGTGAGGGGTGGCAGAGTCTGAATGGGGTGAAGGGGCTTCCACGTGGGAAGGCAGCAGGCACGAGGGGTAGAGCCCAAGTTGGAAAAAGAAGGCACTCCTGACTGGGGAAAGCCCAGTACAGTGAGTCAGAGCCCATGAGGGGTGAGAAAGAGCAGTCTGGTGGGAGAGGCCATTGTCTAAACAGGGGGAGACAGGCATCCACATTGGGGTGAGTAGCAGGGAGGAGGTGCAACCCAGCACAGGTGGTCAAAACCCAAGCAAGGTGAGAAGGGTGTCCACATAGGAAGGCTGCCTGCTCTGAGGTGTTGGAGTCCAAAAGAGGTGGGAAGCCATTCACATTAGAATCAGCCCAACACAGGGGGCTGGAGCCTGAGCAGGGTGCGGAGAGCTTCTATATGGTGAAAGGGTGGGGGACCTGGTCTAGCATGGAGCGTTGAAGTTCCAGTAGAGTGAGGAGGGTTTCCATGGGGATCAGGGGAGAATATGGTGGCTCAGTGCAGGTACTGGAGCACGGGTAGGATACAAGGGCTTCCACAAAGGGAAGGAGACAGTGGATGACAAGAGGATACTGATGACATGTAGGGCAACTGATCAAGTATGTTAGAGAAGGGAATTCAAAATATTGAAAAGGTGAAAATTAGAATGAACCCTTTGGGTTTGGATTGGAATTGGTGATACCAGTGTGTATTCAATATAGATGGATGTAGAAATGTGTGTGTGTGTGTGTGTGTGTGTGTGTGTGTGGCTATGCATATAGATAACTTTACTTATGGAAA